CCTTCATCCTTTCAACAACTAGATTACAGTGCATGCAATTTAAGCCTAAACACTTCAAGGACATTGTAAAAGCATAGTCAAAATGCTAGCCAGTTCACAAAGACACAGTTTAAAGAAAAAATTTCATAAATTTTGACATGAATTTCCTATGAATATACAACTAACACCTGCGCATGCTAACTCTAATAATCACATGTAACAACTACTGCCAGAATGCCCAATTCACTCCCCCACACTTAAACTTTGGCATCGCCCTCGATGACCAAAAATACACTATGCACAAGGGGTAAAGAGGAAAGGGTCACGCGTGCTCAAGATAAACTCAAGTCATTAGTTACACAGGCGAGTAAAAGAGTGAAGAATTTTCTTAATTTAGTCTGTCTTTTATGTGAGTATCCATTTAACTGTATGTGCATGCTAATGGGTTTAATGTCGAGTCGTGATTATTGTAAGTCCCGAAATTCAGTTTGCTTGAGGACAAGCAAAATCTTAAGTGTGGGTGAATTTGATAAATCCGCATTTCAACACACATTTGATGCGTGCTGAGTTCGCCTTTGAATGATTTTCCTAATATTAAAGGTGTCACAAGTCTCAGAATTAGCTCAAGTCATAGTTTACCGGGTCTTAGTGTGTTTTTAGTATTTTTCAAGTCAAATTCAGGGAGTTAAGCCTGACACTGGCATTTGAGAAGTTATTGAGAGAATTAAGACGCATTTGAGAATTGATTAGGAGAATCGGAGATCAACGAGGTGTTAAGGATGAGGTTTTATAGTCAAAATTAAAAGAGCCAAAGAATCAAGCACAGGAGGCAATCACAGACGAAAAGGGGTAAAAATGCCAAAAAGTCAAGTTGGAAGGTCCGCATGCCACGCGGACAAGACCCGCACGCCGAGCGAGGGTGGCAGAAGTTCAGAAAATTTGGACGTTAAACCCACACGCCACGTGACCTTTCCCGCACGTCGTGCGGGATGATTTTGTAATCACTGAAAAGCCCGCGCGCCGAGCAGGCGTATTTTAAGAAATTTCTACGATAGACCCGCACATCGAGCGGGTTTAACCCGCACGCTGAGTGGGCTCCCCTGCAGTCCTAGTTCGACCCGAATTGATATGTTTTTTATTAAAACAACCTGTAAAGCCCTTTTTACGGTTACGGGGCTTAGAGAGAGGCCTAGGACGAAATTTTGAATACTTTTCCGCTTTGTTATTCAAGACCCTGGGATTATTTGTAAGTTCCATCTTTTTAATTAATGACAATTAAATCTTTTCACCCCAATTCTGTTGATTGTTCAATTATGAATTGTGAGTAGTTTTAATTACGGATTTGGGATTGATGAAGGGGTTAATCATGATCTAGGTCTATTTTCTTGATGGATTAATTGCATGAATGTTGTTTAATTTGTGTTTGAATGATTTAATTGATATCTCTTGTAACTTAGAACTGCAGTTAGAATTATTATTGAAACTGGAGTAATTGCTTGTAAAATAAATTAAAAGAGATCTAATTTTTTTAGGACATCTTCACATCCACTTAATCGTTCCCTAAGAGATTAGCAACGATTAAGGGGTCATATGCTCACTCGTTTTGGCAATAATTTAGCTATGTGTCGCATGAGAGATCATCTTGGTTCCCTAAATTATTGTACTTTACGCCGCGAGAGCGGTAAGAACTTAGTATTGATTAGCATTGCTCAATTAAATAATTTTCATTTGATTAAGTTTGAACATCCAGAAATATGATTACCCTAGAATCAATCCATGTTCCCTTCCGTCATTAATTAGAAAGAACTCTTTAATTTTATCTACTTTTTCGCGTTAGTTTAATTCTCCAACAATCAAATCTTGCATATCGCATTTATTTTATTTATTTTAATCGTTGAATTTAGTTAATTCCTGGTTCTCTTTTTCTGTCCCTGTGAAAATGATACTCGTACTTTTATCCTTTATCACTACATATTTTTAGTGCGTGAAAACTCATATCACAGACCAATTAAAAGTATTCAATTAAAAATTGTGTTCTTAGAACATTATAAATGTACTTTTATTGGAAATTTAGGAGGTAACGTCATTGTTGCATAAAATTATGTAATGCTACATTTAAGTTCTAACTAGTGGCGGTAGATGAATTAAATCTATGATGAAAACATCAAAACGCCTTTTCACGTTTATGTCTCGCCTAAATTCGTCTAGGCTTCTATGAGTTTGTTTTGTAATAAGTTATACTAATCTGTACTAAATAAATGTTGTATCTATAATGTTATTTTTTGCGTGCAGATATTTGGAACATTGGTGATCTGAATTACGTACCCCCACCCATTGGGGTGCATTATTTTGGTGCAAAGAGAGGACATTGTTGGTCCTATTGATATCTGGGTGCACATTGATTATATGGGATGAGGCATCAATGTTATACAAACATTGTTTCAAAGCCATCGACAGAAGTATGTGTGATGTCCTTCGATTAACATATTATACGAGTCTCTCACCACCATTCAAAGATAAGACTATTATTTTTTGAGGAGACAATGGATAGATATGGCCTGAATTCTTCGAGGTAGGAGAGAACATATTGTTAATGTGATATGAGTTTTCTCGCACTGAAAATATGCACTACGTATAACATTGTAGCAATATAGAGTATTAGTACGAGTATCATCTACACATAGACGACAATGGAATTAAGTGTTGATTAATTTCAACGATTTGAAATAAATACATTAAAATGTATTACAACAAAAATAAAGTAAATGTATTGGATCCAATGATTTATGATGTTTTCTTTTGGATTGTTTTCAGTCCCAGACTAGACAAGACCAGGGGCGGATGCACAGCTACATTATGGGGGGCAGCTGCCCCCAATAAACTCCCAATAATCCCATATATTATAGTAGGAAAAAATTTATTACATAGAATTGCCCCCAATAAAAAATGCAAATGCCCCCACCCAACTCCACTCAGCCCAAAGCAAAATGATGTGCTCCGTATATATAAGCCCAATGCCCCATAAAATAATCCTCCGTACTCATTATGCCTCAGGAGTTCAGGTTTATTGGTAAACAAGTAAAGGAAGTGTATTATTGAGTAGGGACCCTATTGAGTATTAACTACCCCTATTTGAGTAATTTGAGTATTGATGATTGTATTATTAGTATGTGTTAAATTGTTATGGTGTATTTGTGTTAAATTGTTAACATTTAAAATTTAAGAATTACAATTTAAGAATTACGAAAGTCATACAGAGTATAAAATAATACATATGTAGTATAATTTTACATAGCTATCACTCTTGGAGAAGGTTTTAAGATATATAAAGAGACAAATTAAAAAATCCATATAAAATATAGAGCCCGTTTGGTGAACCTATTTTTCGTCTTATCAGTCTTATCAGCCAACTTTTTTTATCAAACATATAACTATTTATTTCGTGCGTTGAATGATATAATAATCAAAACAATTAAGGTTGAACTTGCTTTTATGGCTAGATTGACTGAAGTTATTGTAGAATACCATTTTAGTTATTATTTATAAAAAAATCTTCATTATATTAATAAAATACTCATATATTTAAATTCTTTCATAAATTTGCAGAATCGGCTAATTCAACCACTTCAGCCAGAACTTCATACATTTCAACATAATAAGCAGATTCAGTTAATTTAAGTGTTATCAAACGGGCTCATAATTTTTACATACCTACCACTCTAGGATAAGGTTTAAGATATATAAAGACAAAAAGTAAATTAGTTATCAAAGAATTAAGGGAAAAATAAATAAAATACCCCAAACTTTGAGGGGGTGTGAGATAAGCACCCCAAACTTGCATATGTAATTTAAATACCCTGAACTTTTTATAAAAAGTTATTATAGCACCATTTTCATGTTTATTTCTGTAAAAATGTTAATTTTTGGTGTTAATTTGATAATTTAAAATATTTTAGCATTCATGAACATACAATTAACATTCTAAACTTCCGTTGTAAATAAAAAATACTACTCCCTCACTCTATATAATTGCAACATTTTTAATTTACTATTTTGAATTATGCAATTAACACCATAAATTTCTATTTTTGAAAAAAAATAATATATGATCATGGTGCTAAAATAACTTTTTATATAAAGTTTGGAGTATTTAAATTACATATGAAAGTTTGGGGTGTTTATCTCACACCCCTTCAAAGTTCGGGGTATTTTATTTATTTTTCCCAAGAATTAATTACACTTTTTGGAGTTTTTAAATATTGTAATATACTCCGTACTTTGTTTAGTTATGCAATTTGGGTGTATTTTATTACTACCTCCGTCCCATATTTATCTTCATAGTTCGGTTTACGATGCTTGACTGACGATAAAGCAACTCGATCCCTGTTCACACTCGGATTATTTTTAGTAAATAAAATTTACATATTCAGAAACTACATTAAAACCGCTACAAAGCCTGATCAAGAAAATTTAAGTTTGACAAAAATTTGATATATAAAGTAAAAGATTAAGAGTAATTTGAGTTGACCATGTGAATAGTAACTATGAAGATAATTTTGGGACGGAGGGAGTACAATTTTTTACTATTCAGGTATATTTGGTTGTGTTTTTCATGCATGTCATTTTTGTTGTGCTCAGAATAGCTCCGTTTCATGGATCCGCCACTGGACAAGACCAGACCAAATTTTTGTAGTTATAAAATACACAGAGACTAGACGTTTACCAGACCAGATGAGACCAGACCAGCAAATTTCAGTTCAAAAGAAAACATCCTTAATGTTTTTAGGGAAACTATATTTGCAAAAATATTTACGTCTTTATTTTGATGTTATGCTTATTTTTATGTCACATTTCACAAATGCATATTTTTTATGGGACACCCCGAACCGTCCCGGTTTTTCTCGGGTTGTCCCGGTCTCATTTTAAATGGGACAACATTGGGATAAAGACTCATCCTGTACCGTACCGGGCCGTTATTATAAAACCGGGATGGGATCGGGATAAGTCAAATCCCGGACCGTCCCGGACCGTGCCCACCCCTACTTTTTCAGCTCAAACATATTAATTCATGGTTGCTTTTGTAATGACTCCTTTGCCCACTTTTATATGCCGATCGTCTCCTCCTTCCGGCTTCTTGACACCAAATCGATGGCTTCTCCTAATCTCCAAAGCGGCCCCTGCACTGGTTTGTTGGGTGTTCATTATTTGTTGGGTGGGATTTGGAATTATCGGCCCTGCACTGGTTTGTTGGAATTATGGCAATAATTACGCTGGGGGTTATAGGCTCTGGTGCAAACGGAATTCTACATTGGGTGGAGGAATTTTTGCAGGAGCTATGGAAAAGTGGATTTTAATTTGTTGGGAAATTTGACTGGTGCGGAATAATGGAGAAGGGGTTGACACCAAATGAAGGCTTATTGGATGGCTATTGAGCAAGGTCCATTTTTTTAAACTACCCTTTTGGTAATTCTACATCGAATCAGTCATTTCAATCAATATATTATCAAATACTTTCAATTCAACCGATTCAGCCTTTTTTTCAGGCTTTTCACCAATTTCAGCCCTAGTAGCCATTAACAAACATGACCTTAATAATATCTTCTTTCACTATTCTTAATCTACCTACTTTTGAAACGGGTAAGTTACGGAGAGAGTATGCGGGTTGTCTCAAAATTAACTTCCGACTTGTTTTTTTTGATAACTTTTAGTTTGAATGTATTTATAAATTTATTTGGACCACTAATTCTCTTTACCACTCTGTATATTATTATTATCGAGGATAATCTTAAAAAGTTAATTTTTAGTTTTTCTTACCAAATAACTCATAAAGTCAAATAGGAATGTTAATTTAGGGACGAGGACAATAGAAATATAGAAAGTATTATTAAGGACATCTTGAAAAGTAACTTTAATACATAGAGTTAAAGGGGATGGAGAATATTTTGTAAGTTGGTATGATGAGAATATATTTTATGATGAACAGAAACAGCAAAGAACTTATGACTCTATAATGACTTGATAAAACAGAACAGGGAGAACTAGCTAGGACGCGCGTACAGATCCGAGCTTGATGATGCATTTTCCGATTTTCTGGGATAATGATATCGAACTACCCTTCAAAAGATGGACGTAACTACCCTGGCCTTCAAATAACTACCCTTCATTACACCTCCTTGACTTCCGTTGTCTTCTTCTCCTCCTTCTTCTCCTCCTCCGGGATCTCGAAAGCGGAAACCGGGAAGGTCTTACCGACGCCGAGAGAACTCTTGAAGTAGATCTTCCCGGTGGGCGGGTCGTCCACGGAGATCTCGCTGATGGTGACCCACAGCAGCATCTCCTTGGCCTTGACCCCCGTGAGCTTCTTGATCTTGTTCTGCTCCACATGGGCCGTCACCTCGCACCCGTACTGCACCAGCTTCCCGATCTCCTGGAACTTGTGCTCCGTCTTCTTCTTGGACTTGAGCCACACGAACCCGGTGTCCTTGACGTAGCCGCACTCCTCCATGTCCTCCATGGGCAGCAGCCCGGCGGGCAGCCCCACTTCTCTCAGCAGCACCTTCGACTTCTCCTGGCAGAGTTCGTTTCCCTCGTAGAACTCTGTGGCGCTGCGCCTTATCTCATCCGTCACCAGAGACATTTTCCGCCGCTTCAAAGGAGATTGATTGTTGCTATTATCAAAAGATGGGTGGGTAGATCAGAGTTTGGTCCTCATGTTTATATATAGTACTGGAGTCTGGGGGACCTTACCCTCCGATCCATATTTCTTGTAAAAAAATATCCTCGATCTGATCTGATCTCTTAGCTTGCAAGTTGTTGGCCTAGATGTGGGTGGTTAAGGGTATGTACGATGATGACTACTAATGAAGTCAGAACCCTTATTTAAACGTACGTCCAAAAATTTATGGACAAAGCTAGGTGAATTTATGGACAAAATTCATATTAGCATATTCCAATATGAGGGAAATTACCTACTCGTATTCATTTTTTTATGTTCCAAAAGTAGGAGAAATTTGCTTTAGATGGGACTAAAGCATAGGTGAAGATAAGTGAAGTGTATAAACAGGGTTAATTAGGAGTGATTGAATCTGGAGTGAAGTGTATAAACAGGGTTAATTAGGAGTGATTGAATCTGGTTTGCGAATAAAACATACTCGAAGTTAATTATTTCTATTTGTGCATTTTATGTTTATTTAATATTTTAGTTCCATTTAAGGAATTTTCTCTTTGTATTCTTCTTCTTGTACGGATATATTATGGACAAGAGATAGAAATCATATACTCGTCCCCCAATTAAGTTCCCGGTTTACCTTCACACATATTAAGAAAATAAATTTGAATTTACTGTGGAGTGCATTGTTTTACACTGTTTAAACACTGTTTGAACACTGTTTGGCACTGTTTCACACTGTTTGTCACTGTTTTGAAGTAGATTATTTGCCAAATCATGAAAATATAGAAGTGTGAACTTAATTTAGGGAATACCCTAAAAGGAAAGTGAGAATTTAATTGAGGGACGGAGGGAGTAGTTTCACTTTATTAACAAAGATGTTAAGTCACGGTGAAAAATTAAAATTAACACACATAATAAATTTGTTAGATGAAGTCTTATCTTAATTATAGACATATAGTATTACAAATTAAACTATAACCTGACGTCCAGACCTGTAATCTTCCACTCTTACACTCCTAGACATGTCCAGAGAAATTATTTGCACATCGAATTTAAAAAAAAAAAAAAGGCGGAGGGAATAATTTCTTTGGTAAAAATGGATGGCAACGGCCATGAGTAGGTATATAGCGAATAACTAAATCAACATCTTGATTAACAAAATGATAATCTTGAGGCATGTGTTTGTGCAAGTTGAGTAGGACGACCTAGGAAAAGATACCTCGTAGAAACATTTTAGAAATTTCACACATTGCGTGAAGTAGATAAATTATCGACCTTCCGTGAACATTATTCCTCTTTGTTTTAACATCAAGTAAACCCGATTTCACCGGATTAATCTTGTGCTCTCAAAAACTTTCCTCAAACCCGTGATAGAATTGAATCCATGTCGCTCAAATAATCCGTTTATTCCAAATATTCTTCTATACACAACCGCGCACACAAGAAAACACTTTTAACCTATTGAATTTACGTGTCTTCATATTCACAACGCAACTCTCACTCTGCCACTTTTGAGGCAAGCGTAACATTGTTTACGTGACCACTTAATCTAGCCCAAGAAGCAAGAGTATCATCATTTGAAAAGACCTTTTCCTAACTGAGTACTTTAACCCAAAGCCTCCAAATTATTACTAACTCGTTCTTAAATAAGTGCAATATTTTAAATTTTTTACTATTCACATGTTCTAGTTTGACTACATTTTATTTATTAATATATTAATATATATTTTTTGAAAAAAATATTACTAAATTTGTCTTATTGTAAATTTTCAAAATCTATTTTTTTAATTTTTTTTACTAATAGAGAATTATATATATTAATGGTCAAAGTTGTGTCTCGACAAATGTGAAATTTTGATTGTTGCACTTATTTAAGAACGGAGGAAGTATCTCAAGTATGAGATATGTAGACACTCCCACTTCATCCCTAACATAAACCTTAACACAATGACGGCAAGTCAGCCCCCAACCTTACTCATAATCCGGCCGGGAGAGAGCGTCTCTTCTCTAATACACTCCTCATTTTTTCTTTCTACTTCTTTTTCCACTAATATAGGAGTTTTTGTGGTCAGAAATGATACTTATCGTTGATTACACTCATTTTACTGTCATTGGCTAAAGTGGGCCCACATGAACCACCCATGAAAGGGAAGTTGCACAAATGACAACTGCTTTATTGAAAAAAAAAGGATGACACCCCATCCCTGAGGGCCCCCAACACCGACCGGACGGCACGATGTGAGGATATAAATTGGACTATAATCACAATCCGATAGATAGAGAGTGGGGCTCTGTCCCCGGTACTTGCAGAAACCCTATGCATTTTTCAGCATAGTAACCCCTCATCGCAGTTGTCGGGATTCGAACCCGAGACCTAACCCTTGTGGCACTCCCTCGCTACCAGTTGAGCTACGCCCACCGGTACAACTGCTTTATTGACATTTATGGCAGAATACACAACTAATAACACAGGTGTGACATCGATGAAAATGTAACGTTTATCAAGTTTTGTACTCCTATTATGTAGCTTTGTAGTTGTAACTCTCTTACTACGTACATCTTAATTCCTCCAAGCATATGTCACGTTTGACTCTCTTTATGAGGGTTGTTGAACTGTAACCCCTAACCACCAATACAATATTATACTCGGTACGTATTAGTATTGCTATGCAATATACTTACTATAATACTTTCAAAGTGAAGGTAAAAGATTCGAATCTCATCTCAATTTGTTAACAGAACACATACTACAATTTGTTAGAAAGGTTTTCCAAAAAAAGGGAAAACTCAAGTAATATACAAATGTTTTTCTTTTAACATCATTATATTCTTGTAATAGTTCAAAATTTAAGTGAGCTATATCAATTACAAATTGTGGCAAAAGGAAAACAGCTAACGAAACGTATAAGATGGATAGTTAACAAATTGAGTTACAAATTTGATTTTTTAAGTAAACTAATTTATTTTATTCATTTAATTAAGATATCAAAGTATTGACTCTACAAAACAATTTGGGAGGAGGATACTATTACATTCTTTGGTAACTGCCTCCCATGCTAATTTTTTTAATTTTTTTTAGTGTACTGTCATTATCCTAAGTACGCCCACAAGATTTGACAACCGCTTTATTGACATTTATTGCAACAAAAAACATGGCAATCGGATCCGGCCATGAACTGATGAACATGTAACGTTCATAAAATTTAGTAGTTAGACAATTCCTTATTCTAAGTTTCTAACTCTCATGAATGTTATTTTCAAAAAAAAAATCTTAAATGTTACTTTTGTGGTTCCTCTGAATAAACATCACATTTCACTTTTTTAGAGTTGTTGAGATTTAATTTGACCGCTAATTTATATTTAATACAAATTCTTTATTCTAAGTAACTAACTCTCTTAAATGTTACTTTTATATATGGTTCCTCTGAATTGAATTAACATCACATTTCACTCTTTTGGAGTTGTTGAGATTTAATTTGACCGCTAAATTTATATTTTACACAAATAATTTCAATAGTTAGGTCACATATCATGCAAATATTTTATTTTAACACCCTTCTACTAATTGTACCAAATCTGAAATTTAACCTTTTCTTGCATCAAATATGAAATTTAACTTAAATAAAGTTATTGAAATCAAACGTAAACATCTAACGGCAAAATCAAATATGAAAGTCATTTTCATAGGGACGACTTCGCCTACTATATATAACCAGGGCACATGCATTTAAAGCAGATATGAATTTTTGAGTGGTTGGGGCCTTGGGGGTTGTGATGGGAAAAAAGATTGAGTTACACACAATTTGTACACACAATTTGTACACTTGTCTGTCCCTCACTGACAAGTTATCTGTCCCGAGATCATCTGTGAGGGACAGACAAGTGTACAAATTGTGTATACAAATTGTGTGTACCTCAAGCTCCACCCTTGTGATGGGCACCCATTCCTACCTTAGAAACTACTCCCTTTATCCCCTATAACTTTGTCAACTTTCCTTTTTCTGATGTCTCATTAACTTTGTCACTTTCTCTTTTAAGTAAATAATTTGTTGTTCCAGTTAATTTTCTCTCCTCTGCACAAACTTCATCCACACAATTTTTACTTTATTAATTATCGTGCCGGTCACATTTGGCAAAGTAATTAGGGACGGAGGGAGTAGAATAACCATCATTATTCATTTATTCGTCTCCTTGTAAAATACGAAGATATCAACTGGTATGACAATGAACATGGCCGGAAAGAAGTTATGCAGAAAAATGACTTGACTAGGGGCATTTAAAGAATGGTATTTCAGAAAAGGAAAAAAAAGTAGCAATTGGACTATTTTTAGCGTTTTCAACAAGTCAAAACGTTGTTTGGTAAATACTCTCTGTCCCTCAATGTTTTTAATTTGCCCTAGTTTGACTTCACAAATATTAAGGAAATGAATTTGACTTTACATTGTGGCGACACTGTTTGACACTGTAGCGACACTGTTTGACAATGTAGTGACACTGTTTGACACTATTTTGCACTGTTTGACACTGTTTGATAAAGATTTGTTTGCCAAATAAGGAAAGAAAAAAGTAGGACAAACATTTTGGGACATCCATATCGGGAAAGCAGGACAAACATTGAGGGACGAAGGGAGTAGTTTTTGACTTTAGCGTTTTTGGATGGAACCGTTGAAATGAAAACGCTGAAAATAGCAGTGTTTTAGGTTAACGTTTTGAAATACTACCTCCGTCCCAAATTGAGTTGCAACTTTGACTTTTTTTGGTCAAACAGATTCGTTTTGTTCGCTTAATTAGGATGTCAATTTGTAATTATATTCTAATTTGGAGTTTACAACTTTGAAGAGATTACAATGTAGTTTTTGAATATGTAAATTTTAATTATTAAAAATTGAATTAATTATCAATAAGAAGGTTTGACTTTTATTATTGGTTGACCAAAAAATATTGACTTTGCAAAACAATTTGGGACGGATGGAGTAGTATGTCATATCATTGTGATCTGCGTTGTCCGGTCTGGTGTGAGACTGAAATAGTTCAAT